GGAGTGGGCGACAGGCACCCGGCTGGTCTTCCATGGCTCCATGTTGCTGTCCGGCAGTGACAGGGGTCAGGAAGGTGAGCAGCGTGAGAGGGTGCTGAGCTGGGGCCCCATGCAGCAGTGACATGGTGCCAGGAGGGCTTCCTGGAGGAGGTGGCCTGGACACAGCCATCATGCCAGTGGGCACCGTGTCGGGAACAAGACCGGCCTCTCAGGCCCTGCTCATGCTCCACCAGGACCTTTGAGGTGGGCATCGCTGCTTGGTAGCTGAGGGGGCTTGGGTCAGAGCCAATCCAGGCCCAGAAAGGACTCAAATCCAGTTCTGTTAGGGTCCAGTCCCAGGTGCTGCTGATTAATTGTGTAAGGGGGTCCCAGGCAGAGGCAGTGATGTGAATATATCTTTGCACACAGAGCCAGCCCTGTCCTCTCTGGGGATCCATCCCAGAACCCCCGTGGGTGCCTGAAACCCCACACTTGCCACCCCCCTACCTCAGCTCCAGCAGGCTCTGTAACACTCGACACCATTTTTGTTCATTTCAATAAAAGTTACATCAAATACATGCATCGTTTATCCCGGAGTTTCCCATTTAATAGTTTCAGACTACAGTTAGCCATGAGTATTAAATGAAGCCAGAGGGGGCTCCATTTCACAAGTTCAGGGGCCCCAGCTGCTGCATGTCGCTGACCCCAACCTGGCTGGCCCCCGCCTAAATCATCTCCGTGCAGACTGGAGCCTCTTGAACGGAATTCACCGGAACATCACGCTTGGCCTCGAGACTCCCACGGCACCTGGGAGGAGCCGCCGGGCCCAGAGCTCCAGGTGTGTGCGTGGGACTGGATGGAAGAGGATGACATTGTCCCCGCGGTCCGAGCCAAGTGAGGACAGAGGCGTGAGCACCACGGGGAGGCCTCTGTCTCCAGGAGGGGAGAGGGCAGGAGGTGGGGGGCTGCTGTGGCCCACTGAGGGCCCCAAGGGCAGACTCGGGGCCCTGGAAGAGCAAAGCGCCTGCAAACTTTGGCCGAGGCAGATTAATCATCGAACAGCAGCATGTCCGGGGTGGCAGAGGCTGGGTCTGGGACTGCAGAGGGCACAGAGGCCGTGGACCTACAGTGTGCACCGTCCTTGCCCGCTGCCATCCGTGCCAGCCACTCTGGATGGGCGCCTTTTATCACCTCCCATTCGGATGGGGTCGCGTAGACCCTACCTGAGCAGCCTTGCCATCGACTGGCCCTGGCCCATCTTGTCCTATCCTCCCCTCCCCCCCAGCCTGGCCCCTCTCTCCTGATGGAGCTGTGGCCCCTGCCCCTGCTGCCCCCCTGGGAGAGCCAGGACGGTGACCTGGCCAAAGTATGGGGCCAGCAGTTGGTTTCTGCCCCGGGCAGTGGCTTGGATCTTTGGGGAGAGCGGGTTTGAACTCTGACAGGTTCCCACCAGCTCCCAGAGACTCTGGCTGAGCAAGTTCACCCTCGACCTTGGTTTGTCCACCCACACGACAAGGGCAGGGCCAGCTGTCTTTCAGGGCCGCTGTGAGTCTCCTGCCTTCATGGGAAAACACTGGGTCCCCAGATTCAGCAAGGTCCAGAGGAGGGTCCTACAGCAGCAGCCGGGCATGTGCCCATGGCTGGCTCGCCACGCAGAATCTGGCCTCAGGTCACCGGCAGCTCCCTGTTTGCTGTCAGAAAATAAAACCTGCTCCCTGTCCCGTGGACTCCCACCACCTGACCAGGGGCTCGCTCAGAGGCTACTGTCCAGCAGATGATACCGGGGACACAGACTCCAATCCAATGGGAGCCACGGTGGAGAGTGACTAGGGACCTTGGGTGGCTGTGGATGGTTTCCGGGAAGGGAGACAGAACAGGCCATGCACGGACCCCAGACCCAAGGGAGAGCACAATGGGCAAGGGCAGGGCCAGCAGGTGGTGTCACAGCTCTCTGCACAGTGCAACCTGCGAATGCCTGCTTCTGGTATCTATTCCGCTGCTGGCATGAAGTGGCAGGCCCCTGTCACTGCAGACCGCCCCCCACCCGTGGCCCCTGCTCTCCTCTGGACGCGCCAGACTCCTGGTCCGGCTGTGTCAGCAGAGGGCAGCGCACAGCTGTGGCTTGGTGCTAGGCCTGGTTGTCCTGGCCCATCTCCTTACTGTAGTAATTACCTCACAGCAGCTCAGAGCATCTTCAAAGTCTCAAAATTCACAGAGGGGTCGGAGACAGCAAGAAAGCTGGGAACTAAGAGTGGCTAAAAATAACGTCCAAGGTGCCAAGAAAGAGACCCAGGAACCCAGGGTTGTTTTCGAGAGCATGATGGGTCAGGGCTTTCTACTCAGCCCCTGCACTGTGCCTGTGTCCCTTCACACTGGAGACGAGGTGGGGCGGCCCTCGGAGCAGTGCTGCGCCCTTTGTGGCAGTTTCTCCCATGCTGGGGGTGTGACAAGGTCCTTTGCCGCCCTCCTCTGAACGTGGTTTCCCAAGCCAGACGCAGTGTCCCCTGGGGCAGCCCACATGGCACCATCTCTTGCCAAATCCTCCCTGAGGAAAGTCCTGGGTTCCCTTCTGCCTCAATTCACAGCTGAGGTATTTGTTCCCAAGTAACTTCTCCTGACACGTGGTACAAAAACAAATTTTTTCTCGCTAAAACCTCAGGAGTGTCAAGAACCCAAGAATGTCATTTTCTGTATCTGCTGAGAGCCGCTCTGCGTCACCCTCTGCACCCGGGCTGCTGCTCAGAACAGTCCCTGCCAGGCCTTTCCAGGGACCTGGTTGAACCAGGTTTTCTCTTGAAGAGGGAGCTTTGACACAACCCAGGCTCCGAGGCAACCAGGCCGGGCCTGAGCTAGGACATGAGATGAGCCGTGAGCTCAGGGTGGGCGGAGGGTGGCCTCTGATCAGCCTGGATGGCCGTTAAATTCTCCTCAGGGATCCTGCGAACTCTGAAACTCAGTGCAAACGATAGAGGCTGCTAGCTGGCAAGTCCCTGAGAGCAGTAAAAGTTGGGCTTGCCAGTGTGCAAGCGGGAAGGCTATGTGGGTGTCTGGAGGATGGGGCAAGGTTCACCACAGTTACAGGATTATTTAGCAAGCGCAAGTTGGAGACGAGCTGTGAAGGGGCCAAGTGGGGCCTGGGTTCCAGCAGCTTCCCCGTAACGGGCCACATCCTTGAAGTTTCCTTTCTGGCCTCGGTCCTCCCTGCGCGCTCGCTTCTCAGCCACAAATAGCACGGGGAGAGGACAGCCAGGGGGGCCAGCATAGCACACATTTCGTTCCCAGAGGACCGGCGGCCATGCGCTGGCACCGTGAGCCGGCGGGGCGCTCCAATCGCCCCTGCAGGACTGTCCTCGGCCTCAAATTGCCTGCCTGACCCCAACCCCAACCCCAACCTCCCGCCGCCCTGCCAGCCCCAGCCTGGGCCGGGCACTGAGTCAGCCCTCGGCGCAGAGGGGCGGCCGGCGGTGGCGGGCGGGGCGGGGCGGGGCGCAGGGTCCGGCCGGCGCCTCCCAGCCTGTCCGCGTCGCCCTTCAGCCTGGTCCCCGCGGCCGCGGGCGCGCTCCACTCCGCCGGGCTCCGTGCGTCCCCTCGGCTCCGTCCACCCACCCGCGTGACTCCGAGACTCGCGGACACCGGCTCCGCGGGCTGGACCGGCTCGTCACACCGGGTCACCACGCGGAACCTCCGCGTGCGCCCGTCCCGCGTGGGCCCACAGCCCGTCGGTGCGTCCCTTCGCGTGGCTTTGCCCCAGGCCAGGTGACCCTGGGCAGTTCCTTTGCCTCTCCAGCCTCAGTTTCCCCCCGAGGCCGCGACCCCCTGGCTCCAAGTGGGCCGCGCAAAACCGCCCCGGAGCCCGACCCCGCCCCTCGCGCAACAGCCAATCGCCCGTGGCCGCCCGGGGGTGTGTCCCGGGCGGGGCGGGGCTTCCGGGGCGGGCTCGGGGCTGCGGGGCCCGGCTGGGGGCGCTGCGCGGCGCGGGGGTGCAGCTGGCACGGGCGCGGGGCGGCGCCGGGCAGGGGCAGGGGCCGGGGCGCGGCGGCCCACGGCGGGGCGGAGGCGGCCGCGAACCCTGCCCGGCGCCGCCTCCTTCGGCGATCGCCCCGCTGCCCGGCGGCCGGACGGCGGCCCAGGTCGGGGCGCGGGGGGCCGGGCCGGACGGGCCCTGCCCCGAGACCGGAGGGTGGCGGACGCGGAGGGGGCGGGCGGCGCATGCGCGCGGCCGGGGCGCGGGCCGGGCACCCGAGGGCGATCGCGCGCCCCGGACTCGCGCTGGCCTCAGGGGCCCACGAGGCGGTGCCCTGCTCCGCCCCGCTCCTCCCGGGGACCCGCTCGGATCCCGCGGCCACGGCTGTCGGTGGGACGGGGGACACGGCGGTGACACCGAGGCCTCGGGTGTCCCCTAGAGGGCAGCCGCATCGGCGAGGACCTCGGGGCGCCCCGACTGGGGCCGCTTCCTGGGAGCCCTGCCTCCCGGCCGGTAACCAAAACCAAGGTCAGTGCACCCCGCGCCTGCACCCCGGAGGGGAAGCCCACGCGCGCCGTGGTGTTGCCAGCGGCGGGCTGCCGTGTAGGGACCGCGCTCGCCTGGCGCCCGCGCGCGGTGGCCGACCCAGGGCGCCCAGGAGAACGTGCTTATCCACTGCTGCAGCTTCGGGCGCGTCCCTCCTGCTCGGTCCCACGCACACCACCTGGGCGTCCGAGCTTCCCGGGCGACCTAGGCCCGCGACGTGAGCGGTGCTGGCCGAAGTCCGACGGTAGCCCTGACCACCTGCGGGCTCCTGCTTTCCCGTGCCTTTTTTTTTAAAGGAAAGAAAATGTGCCCCAATTGTCAAAAGTCCCAGTTGTGTGTTGTCTTGGGCTTCAGGGGGTGCTCTGGGACCCAAGGGGCCCCCCATCTGCCTCCACCCCACCTCCCCAAGGAAGCAGGACAGGCCCCTCTCCTCCGGGACGCTGGACAGTGGGTATGGGAGGAGAGTCACAGAGCTTCCCGGACACGACCCTGTGACATCCTGTCATTGCAGCAGCCGGGTCACCCTGACGTGCCTCTCCCAGGACGGTGGAGAACTGAGGAGATCCAGAGGCCAAATCGTCTCCCCCTTTTGCACCTCCCACGGCCAAGGCTGGAGTTACAGGCCTGCCTCCCCCGGGAATCTTGCTAGCCTGTAGAAGTCCTGCTCCCAGCCGAGAAGTGGTGGCCACAGGTGAGTGCGGGGTGAGTGCCTGTCCCTGCTTTACTGTTTGGAGTTTGCTTCTGCTGCTGTAGAGACCTAGGTCTGGGGGTTAGGGACCGCTGTGTGATACAACTTTGCCTAGCTTCCTTGCAGAGGAAGGTCTGTGTGGCTGGATTCACTTCTGGGTGTTTGCAGGTGTTTCGTTTCTGCGCGGCAGCCTGGCTCTGTGCAGGTTAACAAGGAGATCAAGAGCCCTAAGAACTGCTGTTACTTACCACGCTCCTGAGTGCTAAGACCTGCGGCTTTGACTGGCCTGATTAGCGGGTGGCTTGTGAATACCAGAGGTCACCTCTAGAGCTGCCACCAGCTGGGGCAGGGGTGGCCCCCCAGATGGCCGCGTGCTAAACGTTTCTGTGCTCACCGTCTGTGGGAGAGCAGAAGCAGCAGCCCTGACAGTCTTGCATGGCTGAGACGCAAAAGTCAATTAACAGGAGAAAGAAAAATGTTTTCCTGTTCTGTGCCTGCTTCTTAAATCCGTGAGACAAGGCATCATCCTAGCAAGCTTGTGTTTATCAGACCTGTAAACTGTCTTAAAAATTATGTGTGTGTGTGAGACAGTGTGAGGCAAGAATGAGAGAGGGAAATATTTTCCTCCTGTTTTGTTTTGTTTTGTTTTGTTGTTGTTTTGAGACAGGATCTTATATGTAGCCCAGCTGGCTTGGACTCAAGGTGATGCTCCTGAGTGCTGGGATTACAGGCATGCACCTGTTTTAAAAAAAAAAAAAAAAGTTATTTCTGCTTCATCATTTTAAACGACTGTATACTGTTCCACAGTGTTTAGGTACAGGGCCGTCACTATTTAGCCAGCCTGTGCATATGATCCCAGACAATTAATTCCCTCCCTCATTGGTTCACGCTGTCGGTGTTTATTGGGAAGCTGCAAGGCCTGTTGTGCCCAGTGTTAGCAGGCCGTCCCCCTACTGTCATGACCCTGGTCCTCATATCAGGATGCTGGGATGATTGTCCCTGCCACGGTGTGGGAAGGGAAGGCAGGGCAGAGAAGGAAGGGATTGGCGACCCTGTGCTTTTTCTCCATGCTGTTTGCCAGCGCCTGTGGGTTTATGACAGGATGCCTGAAGTAGCCTCTTTCTAAGACGTAAGGAGGTTTTTACTGGGGGTGAATTTTGAATGTGCCACACTGTCTTCCTGCTCTCCGTCTACTCTGTCTGAGGGAGCAGGTGAGCCCGTGGTGGCAGAAGGGATGGTGGCTCCAGTGGCCGGAGTTTGTAACGTCTGTCCTAATTCTGTTGCTTTACTGATACGGCCCGTGGACTTTGTTTTATTTTATTTTATTTTTTTTTACTGCAGGGCGCTCTTTTGTGTCTGTGTCTGCTGGCTTCTGGGTAAAGTCCATTTTTCAGATGCTCCGTAGCCACTGTTTAAAGCGGCAGTTTCTGTGTGAGGGACGGACGTTCACTGATTCTGTTGTGACAGCCTTGCTAAGGCCTGGAGCAGGCCGTGTCACCCCTCAGGCCGTCACTGGGGAAAACAGGTGCAGAATTTCAAGTTATTTTGCTTTATTTTATTTTATTTCAGTCTGTTGTTTGGTAGTGGAGCTGGAACTCATGACCTCGTGCTTGCCAGGCAGGCGCTTCTGCTTCTGAGCTACATCCCTGGTCCTGGAATTTCAATTTACAATAAGCACTTTTTTTCTCTGTGTGTGTGTGTGATAGAAGTCTAACCAGGGCCTTGCATGCTCAGCACACGCTGTAGCACTGAGCAACACCCCGTACCCCATGGTGAAAGGCTCCGGCGCCCAGGAAGGGCCGGTGTAAAGTACATTTCTCTTCTCAGGCGTCTCGTGCAAGGGAGCATCGTATCATGGTTGGATTTTCCAGCCTAGGACTGGCTGAGTCTGACTTGCTGGTTCTTTGGAGGTGTGTGTGTGTCTGTGTGTGTGTGTGTGTGTTCCTTGCCATGCCGGACATTGAACCCAGGCTTCCCACGTGCTAGGCACGCACACTACCACCAAGTACCTCGCCAGCACTCTCTGTTTTGACCGAGTCAGGCTCTCACCGGTTGCCCAGGCTGGCCTGAAACTCATGATCCTCCTGCCTCAGCCTCCCAAGTTTACAGGTATGCACCACTGTGCCTGCCTGCCGGAGTTGTGGAGTTGTTCTGCTCTCACCATTTTAGGATCTTTCAAAGGTTTTGGAAAGAGTCGCCCTCTGTGCCCCACAGACACACCAGGAGAATGTTTCTGTTGCTTTTGAGTAGGTGAAGTGAGAGCAGAATGAGCCTGAGCGCTCCTGCTTGGTTTCGAGTGTAGGTGCAGCCCTAGGCCTTGGTGGCAGTGCGTGTCACCATTGCCCGGTGTCCCTCCTCTGGGGACCTGCCGAGATGCGGGCTGGGCGCCGTCCCCTGGGTCTGCCTAGTGCCGCGTGGCGCCCAGTTCCTCGTGCAGCTGCCTTGCCTTTCCCCAGCTTGCTCTGCGGATACACAGTAAAGGTTTCTCTCGCAAACCGCTGGCTTCGTCCTCTTAGCTTAGCGGCCGCAAGAACTTTTGCAAAAGCATCATTCTCAATAGCTGTGGCTGGAACAGAGGAGGACTCGAGGCCAGGACAGGGCCAACCGGAAGGCAGCACCAGGCCTTCGCAGGCACGGTCCGCAGTGCCCTGATAACCGCCATGGGGCGGCAGTCACCAAGCGTCCTGCAGGAGACCCCATTGCTAGAGGTCGGGCCACGCTCACATCTCCACTCGATGCACATCGAGAGATTGGTGCCGGCTTGGCGTGAGTGTGCAAGTGTGTATTCACCACAGACCCCAAAGTGCACGCTCACATGCTGCAATGACAGGCGACTCTCGGTGCGGCCACAGCAAGCCCCCACCTACTCCTGGGGAGAGGGAGGCTCGGGCCGCGTGAGCAGCGTTTCCAGCAGAGCTGCCTACAGGACACGGTGAGCGGCCCAGCTGCCAGTGAGCTTGAGTAACCCCATCCAGCATCACAGAAAGTGATTTCCAGCGGAAACAGACCGGCAGCATCACGGTGTCCACAGGCGCCTGCAACTGACAGGCTTGCGTGGGGCACGTTTTGCATGAGCGTTGTGATCGCCCTTTTTCCACTTTGAAAAATGTTACAGACTCTGTCACCAGAGACCGGCAAGGGGACGCGGAGTGCCCTGCTTGCCCACAGCGTGCAGGCAAGCATCTGAAGGACTGGGACCTGTGGAATGAGGCCTCCACTCTCTTCCCGCTGAAAGCTGCCTGTTGGAGCGTGATCTCCAGGAAGCAGGGTCTCCTGTGCCTGGCGTTTGCTGACGGTCAGAGTCAGCCTCATCCGTTCCACGCAGCGAGTCCTCCTGAAAGGGTCAGAGATGTGCGGCTGTGAGAAGAGGTGTGAAGCAGAGAGGGGTCCTGGGCCTAAGTGCACCCCAGGTCCAAGTTCCTTGAGAGAATGCTGGCATTGGCGGGGCTAGGAGAACGCACATGGCCTGGCGCGGCAAGGATGTCTGTAATGCTGCCACTCAAGGAGGCTGAGGCAGGAGGATCACAAGTTGGACCCCAGCCTGGGAGACTTAGTGAGACTCTGCCTCAAAAAATGCGTGTTGGAGATGTAGCTAGCTAGTGCAGAGGCCCTGGGTTTAGTTCCCCAGTATAGGAGGAGGGGCTGGAGCTGGAGCTCAGTGGCATAAGTGCCTGCCTGGCAAGCATGAGGTCCTGAGTTTGATTCCTGGTACAGAGAGAGAGAGAGAACATGCGTGTGACCAGCAACGGCAAAGGAGGGCGTGGTGGGGGTCAGCTGCTGCACGGATGCAGAGCAGGGAGGGCCTGCACGTGAGGAAGATGGCACAGCCAAGGTACGTGCCCTGGACAGTGAGGATGGACTGCAGAGGGATGGAGGGTGCCCACCGGAGCCCCAGCAAAGAGCCAGGAAGCGTGGGCCAGGGTGGTACATGGAGGCCAAGAGGGCGGGCACAGTCCCCAGCCAGGATCAGCAGAGGAGTCAGCAGGGAGCTGGGAGCAGATGGCTTGTGTTCAGACCGGGATCTGTCCTCTCAGGGTCCAGGCCGTCTGTGTGAGCAGGGACTGAGGTCCCCGGCAGGACCTGGAGATGAGGAGAGAGAGACGTGTCTGTTTCTTTCCACACCCCAGACCACCGCCCTGGCTTATCCCGCTCCATTCTCCTGGCTTAGGTGAATCCGAGGACACTGGTCAGTGGTCATTGACGCGGGCGGAAGTCCTGTGGGGTCCACAGTGAGGGAGGACACAAGGCCTGGTCACCCTGTGGGAACGAAGGATTCCAACATGGACTTTGTTAGTGGGACAAGCATTTTCTGGACAGTATGGCATCGGGTTTGATGTGGACTCTTTGAGGACAGAGCCTCTGAGAGACGAGTTCAAAAGTAGAACTTGCGGGGAGAGACCTCCACCAGGGCGTCCCACGCCAGCTGCCTGGGGAGCTGTGCAGAGTCTGCCCGCGGCCGCTGCCTTCCCCACGCCCGGGGCCTGGTCCACTGCTGTCCCGGCCCAGCCCCTCTGGCTCCCTTGGGTCCCTGCCCTGTCCCACTGCTCCCCTGACTGTACACCTCGAAGGTGACCTCCCCGGGGACTCAGGTCCCACTGTGACCTGGTGGCCCTTCCCTGCCTCGGTGACTGCCTTGTGCTGGGCTCAGCAAGACAAGGTGCAGGGTCCTCCCTCACCCAGAGACCCAGGGTTTTCAGCTGACCTGTGCCTCAGTGCTTGTCTCGGTTATTTTTCTCTTATTGCTGAGATAAAACACCTGGCACCACAAATGAAGAGAGGAAGGTTTGTTTAGCTCACTGTTTGTGGAGGTTTCAATTCGTAATCAGCTGGCTCCAAGGCAGGGTGGCCTGGCACAGGGGCAGCACTTCAAGGCAGCGGGCAGAGCGAGCCTGTTCCCCTCCCTTATGTTACATACCGGCCACCGCTGCCCCCAGGGCAGGTGCAGCGCTCGGGAGATCTCCTTGCCCTCTCCTGCACAGGATGAGGATGTTTACAATGTGAAG